CCTGCATCCCAACCTCATCCCCACCCGCTCCATATTCCAGTCCCGGCCATACTCTTCTGACTGTATCCTCCATATTGCTGCTTACTTGTTCTGACTTCAAGAGAGGAATTTGAGAAGGAAACTTTCTATCTTCTCTCTATGGTCACCGTACCTGGCGGACCAGCCCCCCTTGCCACATTTAGATGCTAACTGTCCAAATAAAGACAGCAGGCCCTGCATCCAGGTGTGGCTCCAGGTGCCTGGCCGGCTCTCTGCTCGTTAAAAAGGGAGCCCGGGATTTGGGGAGCTGACCCTCTCCCCCTTGAACTAGCAACCTCCCAAACATGGGAAGAGAGCTGACACGGCAGTGGTTTTCTCACCAGGCCCCGTGATCACCTTAACCGTCTTGGGGGCCACATCCCTTTGTCCACACTTGAGGGTGCTCCAGACAAAGAGGACAGCCCTGGACAAAGCCATGGGGGCTGGGTACCACCCGCCACCTCCACCTCCACCTCCCCTGGGCAGGCCACGCCCCACCAACACCAACACCCCCAGCATCAGTTTCTTCCCCAGTCCAACGCATCCATACCATCTCTCTACCTTCGTGGCTGCGGGAAGAATAATGAAGTCCTGGGCGTGGGAATGCCTCTGAAAATAAAAAATACTAAACAGAAATTTTCAGGGCAAGGAACGACAGGCGTCTTGTGCCAGGCCCGCTCCGTGCCAAGCACGGGGGCTACAAACACGTATAAATGCACCACACACAGTCCCTGCTCTTCGGGTTTGAAATCAATGAATGCTCCCATTCTGGGAGTGAGACATGACAGTAATCCTACACACAGACACAGCCCTTTACACGGCCTTTCTTGTCCGGCCCCGTGAGATCCCCACGGCGGGCTTTTTCCCATTTAAAGAGGAGGAGACTGAGGCTCTGAGGGGTGGGAAGGTGGCCTCAGCAGGGGCAGAAGTGGGGCCAGAGCTCTGGCTATCCTTGCTTCTCTGCAGGTGTCCCCAAGGAGATGCACAGCCTCTGGGGTGATGCAGGGCCACGGGGTTATCGCCATTCAGGCACCAGGGTGTTGCCACGTTGCACCCAGAGCGCTGCCTTCCACCGTCCGGCCCAAAGGTGCATCTGGGACAGAGGACCTGCCCCAGGGTGCCCTGAAGATGCCGTGGCCGCCCGAGAAGTTAATAAAGCCATGGGCAGCAATTAATTCTGCAGAGGAAAGGGCCAGGTAAGAGGATTAAGGAAGCCAGAGCTTTGGTTTTAAGCTGGAGCTTAGCTTTCTCACCCCCAGAGGAGGGATTTCAGGGGATTCGACGGTGTGAGAGTGACATGGAGCAGGGACTTGGCAGAAAGTGGGCGAGGTGGTTATGGAACTTTCAGAGCAAGCATTGCAAGCCATGGCCTTATAACTACCTTCTGGGTTAGGCAGACAGACACAGGAATTAATGATGGTGCAGGTATCATTAGCCTCATTTATTTAGACTTACAGAGCCAGGGCAGGGCGGCTGGATTAGGAAAAGAATCTGATTTATAGCCCCTTTCAATCATGATGATAGCAAATATTTGGGCAGTGTTTTCCCAGTACCCGGCACTGTGTGCACCATCCATGATGATCCCAGACCCATGTCTGCCCCGTTTTACAGACGAGGAGACTGGAGTTTAGGAAGATTGAATGATTTGACCAAGGTCCGACTTGTGATTCAAACAAGAATATCTAACCCTGAAGCCGTAAGCTGCCCCCTACCCTGTGTGCAGGTTGCAGTTAAATGCTGGGAAAGACATGTTAATACCCAAGAGAGCTTGTCAGGATCACCTGAATTGCTTGCAGGTGGAGATATTAAGTATTTGACAATGACTTGTCCTTGGTGGTGGGTGAGACACCCTCTCATCTTTGAACTCATGCAGTACTCACGGTCTTTTGCAAAGTGAGGAGCAGAGATCCTGGCCTATAGTAAGCATTCAGTACCTGTCAGCTGTTTTTGTCACAGTTCCCTGGTCAGCCCCAATTTCAAATATTTTTTTCCAGAAACCATTCAGCTATTTCACAGAGAGGAGTAGTGGTTTAAAAGCATGGACTCTGCACCAGCATGTCTGGGGTGTGAAAACCACCCGGCCCTCCACTCACCAGCTGTGTTACCTTGGAAAAGTCATTTATTAAGTGAACCAACATATGTATAGTGCTTAGAATGAGGCCTGGTATATACTAAGTGCTGTATACATGTTAGCAATCTTATGTTCCAACGTGTTGGCATTCAGCCTTTCTTAGGACGCCTCTCATACCTGGAGGTGGCCCAAAACCCTGTGCCTGCCCCTATGTTGTGTTTTGGGGTCTGGAAAATACGGATCCCCTACTTAGGTAGGGCCAAGGTCAATGCCAACCACACCCACCTCCAAGTGGGTAGGTAGATAAGCGGGGTCCTATTAACCTAGGCCAGGGAATGGCCCCTTCTCGAGGCTCCAGGGCCAGAAGGCCACAGCTGTCTTCAAGACAGCAGAGGGTCACATAGGGTTAAGAGGCCATCTCTTTCCCCCACAAAGAGGAGGCTGGGCCCCAGTGAGGGAAGCGGGCAGCGTGCAGGAGTGGAGAATAGAGAGCCAGCTGAGGCAGGCTAGACAGGGCCAGCAGCAACCTGTTTGTGCCTTGGCCTGGGGAGGTTTGAGGGCCTCTGTTTCTCCAAGTCTCCCAGCAATCCTTCTCAAAATTCTTTCAAGGGAGAAAGTCACATTTAAAGTACCATTTATTGGGAATTCCCTGATGGTCCAGTGGTTAGGACTCTGCGCTTCCACTGCAGGGGGCAAGGGTTCGATCCCTGGTCGGGGAACTAAGATCTCGCGTGCCGCACGGCTCGGCCCCAAAAGAATAAAACTAAAAAAATAAAGGACCATTTATTGAGCTCTTGCTTCATGCCAGGCTCTGTGCTGGGTATTTTATGAACATCGGTGCTGATGCACATGAAGAACCAACCCCTTTTATAGATTGGAAAACTGATGAACAAAGAGATTTATTCACTTGTCCAAAGTAACTCCAATCCTTGTTATAACAAGGTGAGGGATGAGTGGGTAGATGGCTCTGACTGGATAGATGTTTGGATAGTTGAGACTAAAGAGAAGATGGAAAAAAGCAAGAGAATAGGGGGAGGGTGTAGACCTGCCTGCCCCAACTCCAAGCCTCGCTCCTTCTGTTCCTTCTTGGGTTGTGCCTTCTCTCTCAGGGATCAGGCTCATTGTGACTGTCACACTCAGCCTGTCCCCAGGGCCCATCTGGCAAGCAGCAACAGGAAGGAAGGCCCTGGCCAACAGACCCCCATCCTCTTATCCCTCATAAGCTACCCAAGTCACTTTGCACAGCAGAGTGAGGGCTTAGGAGGGACCAGGCCCTGGAAACTGTGGTCTCAGCCTGCAGGCCCCCAGCCCTGGCCTCCATGCTTTCAGAGGCCCTTGAGTCAGGTCCAGTGAGTTGTTGGGATAGGGCTGGTCTCAGGACATGCAGAGCCAAGATCTGGAAACCGAAGAGGGGGCAGCATGGGACAGGGGTCCGAGCTCAGGCTTCAGGGTCAGGCTGACCTGGGCTCAGCTCAGCTCCGTCACTTCCATGCCACGTGTAACCCCAGCCATGTCTCCCAGCATCTCACAAAGTAATGGGTACGAAGTACTTAACTCAAGCTGGCATCTCAGAAGGGCTCCGTACATATCGTTCTGATTATTGAGTCCTGCATTGCAGCACAGGCTCTAAAACGTACTTGCTGTGTGACTTTATGCAAATCACTTCACTTCTCTAAGCTTGGGGTCCAGAGGATCTAGAATCCAGGTTTCCTGGCTGGAGCGGCAGCAATTCTGTTTCCTTGGCAACCCAGCTTCCTCTCGAGGGACCATCTGGATCACGTCACGGTGGCAAGGTGCTGCCCGGGCAACCAGGTGTTTGTGTTTTGCAGTGGAAGCTCTGCAAGGTGGTAATTCCCCTCACTGGGGACAGGGTGGTGGCCAGGCAGGTGGCTGGAAGGAATCATCGCTGTCTCAGTCGTGCCTGCCCTTGCTATTCCTGGGTCCAGAGAGAAACAGACTCCAGAGCTTAGGAACTCTAGCCAATGACTTTCCTTGAAGAGCTATTAACAGATGCTTCCTTATATTCCTAGGCACATTTTCTGGCTTGTTGAGGCTGGCCAGGTGGGAAACGCTGCCCGGGGCTGGACTCCTGTAGGGAATTCCAAAGGACCCAGTCTCACCTGTTTGGGATGAAGAGCCACTATTGTCTCTGGCAGGAAACAGGAATTACTGGGGGGGAAAATTAGGACTCTGCTTTGGAAACAGGCACATAATTATAATGACAGCAGAAACTTGGTGCAAAGGATAAACTAATTCACCCCTTCAGCAGACGTGCATGGGCATCTATTATATGCAGATTTTGTGACCGGCACTTAGGTAACCCTAGAGATTGTATGTATCTGCAAGGAGCTCACAGACCTGGACAGCTTAGGAAAAACACAATGTCAACAGACCCACCTCAGCCAAAGGAGAAGCTGAAGGGGTGGTGGCGTGCAGAACCCTCTGGGGGCCAGCCACTTGCAGCAGCAAACTCCCAGCCCGGAGCGGCTGGAAAAGCCGGGGACAGTTCAGGGCTAGCCTGGGCTCGGCCATCACTTCACACAGGTGAGCGCCATGGCTTTTACAATAGCCCACGAAGGTGAGCTCTGGCCCCTTTTCCAGATGGGGAAACTGAGGCTCCGAAAAGTGAAGCCCATGCCCGGGGTCACACAGCTGGGGAGTGGCTGGTCTGAGATCAGAACTGGGTCCATCTGTGTCCACAGTGCATCCTCTGGGGGGACCCTGCTCTCCTGGTGGGCTGTCAGGGGTGGCTCCATTGCCTGGAAGCGTGTGGCCTCTGCTGAACAAAATAGAATCATCTTCCACCTCTCTGTCCTTCTGGCTCTTTCTCTCTCTTCCTCTCTCTTCCTCTACCTGTGTCTCACCCCCCCACACCCTCTCTCCTTCCCTCCCTTTTCTTCTCTCTCCCTCACTGTCCTTCTCCCCTCTCCTTTCCTCTCTCCTTCATTTCCTTTGTCTCCCCGCCTTTCCCCTTGGGACCACAGCGCCACGCACCGCTGGTCCCACTGGCTGCAGCTCATCTCTGCCTAGGTGTCACCTGCAGCCTCTTACTCTGGGCCCCAGGCTCATCGTCCTCGGGTGCACCGCCCAGTCCAGCCCCTGTCGAGCCCTGGGCTACACCCCCCAGAAATGCCTGCTGCTGTTTGGTGCTGTCCCCCTCCTGAGCGCCCTCAGCCGGGGAAGTGACATTCTGGCGTGTCTTCCCGTTCCCTCCAGGCTCCGTGTGGTCCTGGGCCCCCTCTCAGATGTGCGGCCCCGATGTTTAGAATCACTGCCTCCCAATAAAGCGTCTGCTGGGAGGCCAGGAAGCAAGGGGCCCGCGTGTGCGAAGGGCCCACGTCTGTGCAGACGGGGCCGGGAAGAGAGGAAATGGGAGCTCGCCCTCCGCAGGCACAGACGGCAGGAAATTGGTGTGCCATGGAGCTGCATGGGAAAGCCGCGAGTGCAGCGAGGCGCCCCGCCCCGTGGGCTTGACCCTGAGCCGCTCCTCAACGTCTCAGGGGAGAGACGGCTGTGCCCACCCCCTGGGACAGGGCTTCAGCGTCTGGTTCTTTCCTCCCACCCCAAGTGGAGACAGGACTGTGGGAGGAGAAAAACAACAGAGGAGAAAGGCACTGCCCCTCTAAAGAGAGCGGACAGGGAGCGGGGAGGTGGCCCCACCTGTGGGGTCTGTTCCCTCCCCAGCACTGGCCAAGGCTAGACTTCGGGGTCTGGGTCCCAGGCCCCCTGCTTGTGCAGAAGGGGCTTCCTGAGGTTGGAAGACCCACATGTCCACACAGCCAGGAGGCGGAAACTCCAGGGTGGCCCTGGGGGATCGGAGAGCACAGCACCCCCAGCGGGGCAGCCACCACGCAGGGGGCCACCTGAGGCCGTGTGAGACACACACCCGCCACTGCCAGGGCTTCCAATTCTGCGAGAAATCTCCTGAGTCTTTTAATGTCGTCGATCACCTCTTATTGAAGACCCGTTGCTTGGCAGTCCAGCGGTGCCTGAGGGCTGGCTCTCAGGTGGCCGGTGGAGGCATGGGACTTAAATCATTGAGGATCAAGCGGGGACAGATGGATGCATGACTGATGGGAAGAGGAAGGGTCTGTCTGTGGAGTACATGGGAGTGTGTCATTTTCATAGAATACAGAAAGAAGTATCATGCCGTGTCAGCAGGGGAGGGTTGGTAGTGAGGGGCACCTGAATGGGGTGGCAGTGGGGCGACAGGACCTTTGAAGCGTAGAAGTCACCCACGTGGCATGTCCAGCCACGGAGGTAGGCCACCCTGGGTTTGCATCCTGTTCCCTGCTTTCAAGCTGTGTGACTTCAGGTAACTGACATAACCTCTCTGATCCTTAGCGGTAGCATCAGGAAACAAGGGATGATAACCATATATCCCTCCCAGTTGTTTGTGGTGTTTGAGATGTTGAGGATTAGATAGATGGTGCAGGGGAAGCTGTGCCTTGCACAGAGTGAGGACTTGGTGTCCATTTGCCACATCCCAGTACCTGAGGCAAAACACGTACGTGAAGAGTACCCTGTCCCCAAAAATCAGCGGTGAGAGGAAGAAGACTGGGTCGGGGCAGAGGATACTGTGTAGTGGAGAGGGAAGGGGAAGGAGGAGGACAGTGCCCTTTTGGAGTACAGGGGGTATATAATAAGTATAAATAGTAAGTATCCGTAGTAGTATCATTTTAATTGCTACTGTTACTCTCTGATGTGAATGTCAGCGTGCAGAGGGCCTTGCAGGATCACCTGGCCTATTTTTATCTGAGAGGAGACTGGCACAGAGAGAGGGAGCAATCTTCCAGCATCCCTCATCATACCAGCAGTAGGACCGGCCTGATGCGGTACTTACCACTAATATTCTTCCTGTTACTCCCAGTAGCACTGTTACTCCCATGCCAGCTACTATTACTGCTATCTCTATTACTCACACTAGCCTATTGCTTCTAATACTACCATTATTTTCCTAGTACGATGAATCAATTAAGGAGTGAAGTTTTATTGAAGTTCTTACCATGTTCCAGGTGCTGGGCAAAAATACTGCAGAGACTTCCTCTCCTTTCATCTTTATAAAGACATTAAGAAGAAACGGAGACTCAGAGAGGTTAATTACTTGCTCAAGGCCACACAGTTAGCAAGTGGCAGGGCTAGAATTAGACCCAGGCAGTCCCGCTCCTGCACACCTGGGTACCAGGTCAGACCGCCTCCCAAAAGAAGGAAGGAGGCTTGACAACCCCGAGCCTGGATGAATGGAGGCCTGGATGCATCCCAGGAGTAGGGCTGCCTTGTGAATTAGCCCAATGGGCAGCTACCTTTGGGGAGGGATCTAATAATCTCTCTCCTGCCTTGTTTCACAAGACCTGAAATTCCACTCTTCACATGATTTTCTTTGGATTGAATTTCACGTGCCTCTGTCTGTTAGCCTCGTTCATTCAGTCTGCCATTTGATAATAGCATGGTGAGGGGTGGTGAGGCCAGGTCCCAGGCTCAGAATCCTGGCTTCCAGTTCTGGCTGCTTGTAGCCTGGGTGACTGTGGGCCGGTCCCTTCATCTCCCAGTGGTGGGATGTCAAATCTGAAGCTCCCAGCTCAGGGCCTCATAGAGTGGCCCCTCTGTCCTTCCCCTGCAACTCTGCGAGACCCCTGTCATAGCCCCAGGTGTAATAGTCCTTGCAGATGAGACCCCCACCCCCAAGGCCCAGTCCAGTGATAGCAGGAAACCAGCAGATTGCATCTAGAAAAAACAGAGAATTTAGAGATTACTCATCCACTCATTCAGCAAACATGAATTGAGTACCACAGCGTCCCAGGCCTATGCTGGATGCCTGGACAGTGTGAGTGAGGTAGATGTGGTCCTTACCCTCCAGGAGCTCAGGGCTCCATGGGGAGGACAGACTTCGAATGAATGCCCTCCGACGATGATGTAATCGTTGTGACAGGCCCTACAAAAGACACGTGGAGGGGGCGGTGAGTCTGGGAGCTTAGAGAAAGCTTTCTCAAGGAAATGACCCTTGCAGCAAGGCTCCAAGGAGAAAATCTGCCCAAAGATGAGGACAGAGAAAGACATTCCAGGCAGAGGAAACAGCACGTTCAGAGGCCCCAGGTGCAGAAGGAATGTGGGTTCAAATTTTCTCTCTACTTCTTCTGACTCGGTAGCTCTGTGCAAAATGCTTCTCTCTGAGCCTCAGTTTCCTCACCTGTAGAATGGGAACAGTTGCCACCTGCTCCCCAGGGTTCCAAGCAACTGAGAGGTTAAGGGGTGTGAAGGTGGTGGTGCTGGCACTGCCCCCCTGAATGCCTAGGGAATCTGGAGGCTGCCTCTTGGCTCCTAGCTTCCAAGCACCCCCGACACTTGAGGCTTCTGTCGGTCCTGGTTGTTCCTCAGCACAATTAGGTAATTAGGCCAAATTCAATTACACACCACACTCCCAGGTCTGTCTGGGGCCCGACGGGGGCGTGGGCTCCCTTTGCTGGCGGGGGGGCAGTAGCAGTGCTGCTCTCAGAGTTGTGTCTTCCTACCATGCATCCCAGAATACTGCGTGCATCCCAGATGGGGAAACTGAGGCAGGGAAGAGGCAGTGTGCTTAGCCCCAAACCTCAGGGCTGAGATCCCCAGGGCTGATTTTTTCCCTCCTTGACAGCCCCAACCCAAACTGTGAGCCCATGGCTTGTCCCACCTTTCAGATTCATCACAGGGGTCCTGGCTCCTCTCCCCCTGGACAAGACCCCCCCCGCCCCCCCACCGAGGGTGGGATTCAGCTTCCCTGCCACCCTTGGATTTGTGGCAGTTTCTCCTCCCAGCTGCAGACTGGTACCCAGCCACTATTCAACACTTTGAATGGTGTGTGAATTTGAGGGGAGAGCACACCTTGACTTCCGGGCTAAGGGGTGTGCTGTTCCCACCTGCCAGGCTCAGCTCTGAGGATCCTGATTTCAACATCAGGCCTCCTACTCCTCGCCCTGCCCTGGCGGCCACTTTGGATTTTCCCCAGACATTCCTTCGTGGCCTGTCTGCTCACGTCCAGAGCCCCCCGGGGGTGGGGGACACCTGGGACCACACTGCAGGTGTGAGGGGAGTCACCAGACCCCCTGGGCTGCCATGGGCTGTGAGTACAGGGCTAGAAGGGAGCAGGCGCCTGGGGGAGTGTCCTCTCACACGGGACTGCAGGAGAGGAGGTGACACAGGATTCCTGGCGAGCTTTAATGGGCTTAGGAAGTTCATAGAACGGCTGTACTGCTGCCCAGGATGCGCTGAGGTGCTTGGGCCTGCTTCTCGAGCACCCTTCCTCTCCTCTCACCTATCACAGCACCCCAAAACAGAAAGGGCCCCAGAAACCATAAGCCCACCAGTGTGGGATCCCCTTTACAACTCCCCATCCTCAGCTTACACACCTCAGGTGACAAGGTACTCATTACCACCCTGGGCGGCCCTGACTGTCAGAAGGTCCTTCCTTCTTTTGAGCCCAAACCCGTCTTTTTTTCAACACTGCCATCCTTCCTTCTGATGCATGTGACTCCCACTGTGGATGAGAAAAGGACTGAAGGGTCCAGGGTCTGGCCCCCGACCTCCCTGTGAGGAGGGGGAAGAACAGAGTGGGGCAGACCCTCCCCATGTGAACCCCAGCTCATAGAAAGAGACAGTGGATGGACAAGAGCCCTTTAGAATAGTAAGTCCTCATGTGTTTTGGACTTTACAGTTTGCAGAGCACATCCTTGACATTACCGTTGGTGGAAACATGGAGAGATGGCCTGGGGCTCTGGAACAAGTCAGAAGACCTGCATCTAGTCCTGGCTCTACCACTAACTTGCTGTGTGACTGGAGGAAGCCCTAGTCCCTCTCTGAGCCTCAGTTTCCTCATCCGAAAATTAAGACTAGGCTCTCTTTACTTCAATGCTGAGAGTTGGGGGTTCCAAATAGGCAAGCAGAGACCCTGTAAGGAAAAGGGGTGCACGTAACAGGCCCTGCAGGCTGTGGGGCACACTGGGGTCATGTGGTTGTTGGAGCAGCCTGCATTCAGCCTTGCCGGGCCCCCCAGCCTAGCATCAGGGTGTGTGGCCTGAAATCCTTCCCCCAGCTGAGCGCCATTTCTTCCTCTGCAGAGAGGAGGACGGCATCCTCCTGGTACCTGCAGGAGCCTTTGTCTCAGGAGCAACAGGAGTGAAGTTTGGCCTCCCCAGGCCAGACAGGGAGGTGTGCCGCCCAGCCAGGCAGGCAGACAGACTGACAGCTTCAGCAGGAAGGGAAATTGCCTTTCCATCTGCAGGGAGCTTATGTCAGTCCAACTGGGGGCCGTCCGGAAGTCCCCCGTCAAAGCTGTGTCCTGGGAGAAGCAATAAAGCCCCAGGACTGCTGAGGCACAGACATTCGCGCTGCCTTGGCCGTCCCGTCCCATCCCTTCAAAGGCGACTCCAGAAATCAATGGGAAGAGATTCATGAGGGTCCTGGGTGGCGAGCTCCTCTTCACCTCTGGCAGCCCCTTTGTTAGCTGGCCTGAGCTTCCTGTCTGAACAGGCTGCTTCCACTGAGAGGCAACCCACATTCTTGCAGACAGCACGTCGGGGACCCAGTCTCTGGGCTGGCAAGCAGCGGGAGCAGGGCACCGCAGACCCCACTGTTCACTCATTCATTCCTTGATTCACTTATTCATTCAGGTAGCTGGTCCATGCTTCATTCACACAGCAGATATCAAGCATCTGCTTGGCATATTGTAGATCCTGTCGATAGAACATGTGCAAAACAGACAAAAGTCGCTGTTGGCAGGGAGCCTGATTTCTGGCAAGGGAGATAGCATTAGCAAGAGAAATAATTGAAATACATCAGTCCTCGGTGCTAAGGAGGAGCCTAAGTCAGGAAAGATGGTAGCAGACGCCAGGAGGGGCTGCAGATGTGGGCAATGCAGCTGAGGAAGGCTTCCTGAGACTCAGGTGTCCCCTGGGTGGAGGCCTGCAGGAGGTGGGAAGTGAGCCTGGCCGCCTGGAGAAGAGCATGGGGGCGTCCGCAGCCTGCAGGCAGGGAGACGGGAAGGAAATGAGGTCAGGGAGGTGACAGGGGCCAGATCACACAGGGTTTTGTGGGGCCATCATAAAGACGTGGATTTTTACACTGACTGAGCCAGAGCGGTTTAAGCAGAGGAATGATGAGCTGCGACTTCGGTTTTGGCAGCATCATTGTGGGTATGCGTTAGCTAGAGATGCCATAACAAAGTACCACAGACTGGGTGGCCTGAACAACAAGATTGCATTGTCTCGCAGTTCTGGAAGCCAGAAGCCTGAATCAAGGTGGTGGTAGGGCCGTGCTGCCTTGCAGGGCACCAGGGAAGGAGCTGTTCCAGGCATCTCTCCTGGCTTCTGGTAGTTCCCCGGCTCATGACAGCAGAACGCCAGTCCTCACAGGGCACTCTCCCTGTGTGTGTGTCTGTCTCTGTGTCCAAATTTCTGCTTCTTATCAGGACACCAGTCATATGGGATTAGGGTCTACCCCCATGACCTCATTTTAACTTGATCATCTGCGACCCTGTTTCCGAAAAAGGTCACATTCACAGGTACTGGGGGGTAGCCCTTCAGCACCTTTTGGGGGAGGGGGGACGCACAACCCCACGGCCTCTCAGCCTCTTGAGAATGATCGCTGTTATCTCCTTTGGTCCTCCCTGGCACCTGGTATTAGCTGGCCTCGCTCCCATTTTACAAAGGATGAGGCAGAGGCCCAAGGAAGCCAAAGTGACTTGTCCAAGGCCACCAGCTAGTCGGTACTTGTTTCCTAAGGCTCAGTCTCCAATTCCAGGCACATCCCCACCCTCCACAACTCCTCAGCTAGCAGGGACATGGTCAGTTCCTTCCTGTCTCCGCTCCGACCCCTCTGGCCTCTCTGTGTAGCTGAGAGGCTGTGGGCATCCTAGTGGCATGGGCAGACAGCCTGGGCACAGCTGCCTTCCCAGCTGAGTGGATGGAGGGGCAGGCAGCTCTTAAATACGGAAGCCACCTGAGGGACCATTTCATGCCTGGTTCCTGGGTTCCCTCCCCCATCCTCTCTCCTCCTCCAGCCTGGCAGGAGGCTTTCCTGGATCCCCCATAACCTCACAACCCTAGGGTTTCTTGGCGGTGCCAGTGGACGTGTGGGGCAGGGGTTGGTTTTGTTTTCTTAATGAAATGATTATAAGATTTGGGCCGATGCCAAATGCAGACTTCTGGGAACGCAGCCTGAGTGTGGGTTGAGGGCCCTGCTGGAGGATACATCCGGGAAGGGGGTGGGGAGCAGTGACGGGAGGTTCTGAGCCAGGTAGGTCTCATTCTCCACCTTGACCCCCATGCCCCCCCTCAGGTGGAGCCCTGGACAGCCTGGAATGTCAGGTGGATGGTTAAATCGCACAGAGGCTAAACAGGAAAAAGAAACACAAAGAAAGAAGACATTTCCATATATGTAATGTGGTGTGCTGGAAAGAATATAAAACATGACTCTCATCACAGCCCTATCTCGCTGTGTGACTTTGATGGTCACTCTCTCTAGGGTCCCATCTTGGGAATACGGTATTACGGTTGCTGGTGCAGGATTTAGAGGCAGATGGCTGGGTAGTTTAAATCTTTCTGCAAGTTGTCTAAACCTTTCTGTGCCTGACTGTTATCCTCTGCAGGGCGGAAATAATAATCACACCTTATCAGAGAGGGCTGTCTGTGAGGATGGCATGTTGATACTTGGAAAGTGCCTAGAACTGTGCCTGGCAACCAGCAAGCACTGTGTCAGTGGGAGCTATTACTGTGGACAGAGGAGACGCCTGGATCCAGCTTGGGGCTCCCAGCTCTGTGTCCCCAGTGGGAGTGTGCCCTCCCACTGTCCCCATGTGTGGGTAGGGTCCCAAGGCCTGGCAGAGACACCTGCATTGGCTGGCTGGGAGCTGAACGTCAGCTGTGCCTTCCTTCTTTGAGATTGTACGTGTAGAATTAAGGAGGCTGACCAGGGTGAAGGAGGAAGGGAAAGAGGCAGAGGGAACAGTATTATCAAAGGACACGGGAGTTTGTGTCCTGACCCCTCAGAGGTGGGCAGAAGCCCCAGAAAAAGGTCCCTGGAGGCAGAGCCCCTGAATCAACTCACGCCCAGTGCAGCTGCTTGAGCCTTCCTGGGGCAGCTGCGCTGGCAGTGAGACAGATGCTTCATGGCCGGTTATCCTCCAGTATGTGTGCGTATGTTTATTGAACCCACTCTATGCCCTGCACGCGCTTCCATGCTCCCTGAGAAGGATCGGTTGAATGGAGACAGGTGGCCAAGCAGCTCCCAAGGCCTGAGCTCACGACTGCCACACTCCCGTGGACACCACCTGGGGCCTTGCTGTCTTCTTCACTCTCCCTCTGAGTGCTGGAGCCCGCATGGGTGACATCTCTGAGTCACAGGGATCCTTGTTGAGACCTGCTGAATCAGCAAGCCCTGCTTGAGGAGGACCTGGCTCCGTGGCTCTGGGGTTCATTGTTCTTCCTCTCAGTCTCAGCTGGAGGGAGCTGGGGTTGTGTATGCCCCTAGCCCCCTGCCTTACAGAGGAGGTGACCCAGCCCTGAGCCTGGGAACCACTTTCTACCCCCCCACCCCCACCCCCCAGGGGGACCTACATCCGGTGGCTTTGCTCATTCATACTTACTGGCCTGGGCTGGGACAGGATCCAGGAGCCCATCCCTCTGGAGGTGAGAGGGGGAGGCCTGGAGGAGGCTCCTCGGGCACCACAGACTTCCCCCCTGCCCCCACCTCGGGGCCTCCATGGCCTGGTTGGTCCTGAGGAGGTAGGCTCTGCACGACAGGCTCCCCAGCTGGGTGAAGCATCCTCCCTCGCGCTCCCTCCAGCGCAAGCCGCGGCTGCCTTCCCGGCTGCAGTGCTGTGATTTACTGGCGGCTCCTTCTCGCCAGGGCCCACGGCAGGAGGAGTTCAAACACCCGCAGGAGAAGCCACCAGCTACTGATCCCTGAATCAGGCTTCCCAAGGGCTCCCGGACCTTCATCAAGGAGCCACGGCACCAGGGCCGCAGCTCTCCCTTTCTTCTTCCTTCTTCTGCCTCCCAAGTCATTCCTCCGGGCTGTGCCCCCTCGCCGAGGTCACTCGGAGAGCTCCCCGAGTGCGCTCAGAGGTGGAGAGTGCCTTTGTCTGCGGCCGTTTTCCTATAGATCCTTATCAAGGCAGGCGCCCAGGGGGTGGAGCGGGCCACTTTGGGCCTCAGGCTTTTGAGCAAATCTTTGGAAGTTGGAAAAGTGGAGTTGGAACGTGGAGTAAGTGGAGAGAAACCCTTCTGAAGCAGGAACTGGTTGGAGTACCCATATTTCTCCAGACTCCGGGTTTGTAGTATTAAAAGCCTGCTAACCTAGTGAGCGGGACTGGGGCTTGAATGGGACCGAACGGGCCTTGGAATTAGCATGTGAAAACGGGAGCTTTAGCCAGGAGGCCTTCTGTGAGGGCTGGTGAATAGATTCTTGGAAACAGTTTGTTTTCCTGATTACATAAATCTGCTAGTGGAGAGTATTTACCTGTTTTTTTTTTTCTCACCTGGGGAAAGTCAGTTGGTCCCAGGCCTGTAAAGTTTAAATACGCATATCACTACTCTTCTCTCACCCCACCTCGGGGCTCCTTCCAGAGTAGGTCCCAGGGAGAGCTGGGAGGTGGGGGAGGAGTGGGGCTGTCACTAGTTTCCCAGGCCCTGCCACCACGTCTGCGTTCCTCTGATGGAAACCTCTGCCCAATTCCAGTCCAAATTCTGGTTCAACCTATAGGAGTGGTTTTTTCTGAATTCCGTGCCTGGAGCCACATGGTACCACCACATACCAGGTATTTCAAGAATGAACCTGGAAGTTCCAAACATTTGGGCCTTTGGTGGCTCCAGAGGCACTAAGAAGCAGACAAATGTTGTGACCTATCATTGCAGAGCACTTCTGGGAGGGGAGGAGCCAGAAGGACGGCGTTCTGGTTATTTGAGGTCTTAGCAGCTTTGAATTTTGTATAATCGAGGTCTGAGCCCTGACATCATGTTAAAACCAGATTTATGATAGAAAACAGGTCTTAGGGACATCTATCTCAGTGTTTTCTTCTGAAACGTGGACCCAGGTGTCGTGCCTCCTCAGTTTCTGGGTGTCACTGGCTGAGCGCTGGGCTTTGGAGTCTGTGGTACGCAGGATCTGCAATGGGGACTGGGCCAACCAAAGAGAAAGATGGAGGGCCTTCACTGGCCACAGGGCTCTTCCCTCATGGGCTCCCAAACCCCTGTGGGGCTGCTTGGGAGGGCAGGGCCCCAATGGATGTCTCAGTGAATAAATGACGGTCCCTAAAGAAGCCATTGTAACCCAAGATGAGGGAAGCCTCCTCCGAGGAGGGGAGACTGAGCAGAGCCTGGAATTTGGGCAGAGCAGAAAAGTCCTTACCCTGGCTGCCCCAGGGTTGGCCCTGCAGGAAGGCGATGCAAATTAATCTCTCTTGCAGGAAGCTAGTTCTCGTCCAAAAGGCAGCAAGTTATAAAGTATGAATTAATCCATTTAACCAGCTCCTCTGAGGGAAAGCCCATGACAACTGCATTTCCAAATGCCATCTCTGAAAGTGATATTTCAAGTGGCAGTGGGTGGGATTAGAGCCTGCTAACGATTTATGTCAAACAAGGCGCAAGAACATAATTTCTAGATATGTGATTTGTTTCAGGCACTTCCAGGGCTGGCAGTAGGACAGACACGGAAGTTCAGGGGCCAGCCAGAGCTCAGACTGAAAAGGGGGGGTGGGGGGTGTAATCGGGAGTGATGGAAGGAGAACAGGAGAAGCAACGTCAAAGGCTAGCTGACCTCGTCACTTACCCATGATGGCAAGGAGAGCAGTGCAGGGCAGTCTAATACAGAAGAGATTTTTCAAGGCAGTTCTGGTTACCTTTCATTAGGGTGAATGATGGGGCCCCACTTACCTTCCTAATTGTTTGGGCAGTTAAGTCGACACTCAAGAAACCTTCACTGCAGGTGGGCTGGGGGAAGGGGCTTAAAGCAAAGTTTCTCCCAAGAGGGTCGTGGTGATGGGAAGTGCCCACGAAAGAGGAAGGAGCGAAGAACCCTTTGGGGTGGTAGGGCGGCGGGTGGGCTTCCAGGTGTGTCTGCTCAGCTCAGCGCCAGCAGGTCTTGCGACAGACAGGCTGGAAGGAAGAGGCCGCGGCCACCACAGGATGCAATGTCAGGAAGGCAGCAGCTCCCGGGGCGGGGCAGTGCCGCGCTCAGCAGCCGCCCCCGGCTTCCCTACCGCCGCTGGTTCCAGGGCACAGGAACTCCCCGAAGTCAGCGAGCTCGAGCGTACGTGCGCCCGCTCACCTTGCCTCGGGGAATCCCAGGGGCGGCAGGGGCATCAGTGCCAGGGAAGATGCCAGGCCGCCTGCCTTCTCCGCCCCCTAACCCGTTCCGAAAATCCTTTAAACCAGGTCGCAATCCGGATGCCCCAGTCCCGCCCCGCCCCCTCTCCTCCCCCGGGCCGAGGCCGCCTCCAGGCCAGCTCCCTCCTCCGCCCCCACCCTGACTTCCACCCTCATTAGCATGGCCACTTGGGAGGATTCTCTGGGGGGCGGGAGACACCCGAAGTCATCCACCGCCTGCGCATTCCCGGCGGCCCCCTCGGGCGGCAGCGTTCCGGGAGACCCACTTGCACAAGTGTTGCTTCCAATTTATTGCCTGGGCGGGGGAGGGAAGGGGGCCTGGTCGCCGCCCCCGCCCGGAGGCTGGAGCGCTGCTTGTCGGGTCGTGCGTTCGCTCGGCGGCGGCGTGCACCAGCACCACCCCTGCGTGCAAGTTTGAAATGTGAGCTGCCTCCGATTCATACTCGCTCGCGCTCCCTCGCAGCAAAGTGGCTGGGCCGACGGTCTGCGCGCGCGAGTGAGTGCGGGTGGCGGGCTGGGGGGCGGGGGTGCGGACGGGAGGCTCGCGGGGCGGGGAGGGCGCGCGCGAGCCAGGGCTCCCTGGAGACGCCGAGGCAGGTCTGCTAGCCTTTCATCTTCTCTCCGCGCTCCTCCTCCTCCCTCCCCTCCCCCCGCCGCGGCGCGCCCGGCCTCCCCCGAGCCCCCAGCCCCACGCGGGCGCACGCAGGGTGGGTGGTCGCGCCGGCGGGGAACGGGCGCGCGGCGCAGGGCGCTGGCCGTGGGAAGTTTCGCTGGCGCGCCCAGTGCACCCCCGCCCCCCGCGCGCCCCCGGCCCATCCCCGTCCCCGGAGGGCTGTCGCTTGCGCCCGGGCGCGCGGCTGGCTGCCTCCTCGGCGGCGGCCCCATTAACGGAGCCTCCGCCTGTGATTGGCTTCGCCCGGGAAGCTGGAGACTGGCGATGAATAATTGATGTGTGCTGTGCGGTAGCCGGACGGCGGCGGCGGTGGCGGGCAGCAGCGAGCGGGAGCGCGGGAGCCGGAGCGCCCTCGGAGCGGGCAGCGCGGAGCGAGCGGGCGCCGGAGCCACCCGGGCCCCCGCGCCGCCGCCGCCGCCGCCCC